GAAAAAAAAAAAAAAAAAGGAAAAAGAAACTAAACAGACGCTCAACGTACCAATTCTCCTCTTTTCCAATGAAAAGTCAAGTGAACAGAATAAGAATTTAAGTATTCATAACCTATTGGGCAAAAGCAAAGTGATTGATTCATCAATTTGTGGGTTTCAACTAGCAGTCAAAGCCAAATTAAAAAAATACTTTTAAAAAGGAACTGGTATTTCTTCTATCTTTTCTTTGGTCAGAATGGTATTTCTTCTATGGGTCTTGACCATCTTGAAGAGAGCACAATTGAATGAAGGGTTGTACTACTTGAAATTTTGCAATTTGGATTTTTGAAGAGGTATCAAAACTTTCTTTTGTTTTTTTTCTCATTCTTTTCCTTTTGAGTTGGTTTGGTTGAGTACCTTTTGTTTTTGGCTCGGCATTTTACTCACTCACTATTTTCTTCATATTAATAAATTAACCACCATATTCTGTCAATATGTTTTGTTAGATTTCTTAACTTTTTATATTTTAAGTTGATTTGAATGTTTGTTTTTTTAATTTTATACGAGCTTTGAATGTTTAGTTTAATTTTATGTGATTATATTTGAAGGGAAAAATATGCTCAAAACCCAGATGTTATATTTGTTCTCTGTTTATTAGTTAAATTATTAGAGTTGAACATTTCATGCTTGAGTGTGATTGATCATATTTTTAGTTTCTTTATTGCTATTGCCTCTAACTTGTTGTGGTGATTGTTTAGATTTTTATTGTCATTAGTTATGTTTAATATAAAATTTAAAACTCTGGAAATCTTAAAAAGAAAAAAAAAAAGAAAAAAAAGACATTTAGCTCAAAGTCTAAAAAAGATCTTTAGAAAAATATTTTATTAAAAAAATCAATGCTTAGTTTATTAAAAAACAACTACAATTTCAGTTATTAATGTGTGTATATGGGCACACTTTAGATTTTCACCCTAGGCCTTTGAGAGCTCAAGACCGGCTTTGCCAATTGATCAGGATAATAAGCTCGCCCCCCTTGCACCCAAGTTCGAATTTCTCTCTCCCCGTAGATTAGATTAATTTAGAGTATCATTTGTATTTTAAAAAAAACACTAATAATTAATGAGATTTTCTATTTAAACCCCGCACTTCTCTTTGTTCACCCAAATACTTAAATAATTAAGCTGTAAGTTTTATTATTGTATAAAAAGACAAAAAATGTCATACAACTCAACTGCTTCCTTGCTTCTAGTTTTTGTGGAACATAAGGCCATTGAAGTTACACATGTTTGTTTGGGAGTGCTTCTGAAAGGGCTAAAATCGCTTTCTGACAACCAAAAGCATTTCTGACAGTGTTTGGCATAAAAGTCTAGAAGTACTTCTCAATAATAGAAGTGCTTTTTGAAGACGCACTCCCATTCAGGAAACACTTCGATTTTTTATGAAAATTTCAACATCTTTATAAGAAAAACGATTTTATTAGAAGCACTTATGAGCAAAAGTGTTTCTTAAAGAAGTAGTCCCAAACAAGTAGGCCATCGAAGTCACACCTGAAAGAATTTAAAGGATTCAAACAACGAGTGAATTAACAAAATTAGTAAATGTTCAATGAACTAGAATTAACTTCGGTTGGTTCACCAAAAGAAAAAAAAAAGAGTAAACTTCGATGGCAGGCAGCAAAATTTTTGTTTCTTATGTTATTGACCACATCTCCAATTTTCTCTACTCACCCACCTTAAAAAAGAAAAAATCGAATGCTTTCAAAAAACAAATTGATCACGTACGAGGATTTGAAGAAAAATTCAAGAAAAAAAGTATGGCACAAGGAAGAAAAAGAAAAAGAAAAAGAAAAATTTGTTTCCCCACAAGATCTCTGTAGAAAAAATGGGTCGGAGTACTGCCATAGGCCGTAGAAACCATTTGGGTGCTACCCTGACTCTACAATGCTCACTAGAAGCAGCACATGTTCTTAACAAAATTAATGAGTTGTACTTTATTTCTGGTAAATCATCAATCCGATTAATCTTGCTAACATTTTGAAGGCAGTGTTTCATAGAAAATAAGGCTTTGAGTAGATACACTTTCAAAACGGATATAAAAATAACGAAGACGGATTACAGAACAATTGAAATTGCAAATGCACATATTGGCTTTAGAAATGTTAAGGAGCTAAATGTCACCCCTAGAAATAATTTCCAATCCTTCACAGACATACACATAACATATATATATTAGGTGTATTGGTAAATAAGAACTTACTTTTCTTGGCATTTTAATTTATTCAAGCAAAATTATTTGTAGAACATAAAAATTACAGTGATTATTATTATACTAAAATGATGAATTTATCTTTATACGTGTGATTCTAGAAATGGATTAAAGCTTTAACCATCTGCAAATGGGATCCAGCCTCATCGTTGATCTCCTTGTTGGTGAGAATGACATCTTGCGATGTCTCCAATGAGGTCAAAATGTACATATTGAAAACACTAATCCAAAGGAATTATGTGTCAATGTTGTGTGTCCAAATAGCATTACTCATTATTTAAACCTTTCATTCTTGTTACAATCTAGGACACATCTCTTACACTTTGAGATCGTACCAACTACAAGGTTTGTTAATTATATTAGCTTGGTTCATCCTTGGTTGAGATCTAAAGTCCTTTTTTCTTCTGTTTCAGGAAAATCTAAGAAAAGAATAACTTTGAATATTGTTGAATTCCCAGATCGATATGGAAAAGTAAGCTATCGGTTTACCCTGATTGTAATGAACAACTTTTTCTTTTTAGATTTGACATTGAGTTTGATATTCTTTTTTTTACTTCCTTGTGATGTGAACTTTTCTGGCAGTGGCAGGCAAATCACGGAGGCGCTCCAACTGTATCTACATGCCCAGAGACGTCTTCGTGAACAGTTGGAGGTACATACAAGAGATCCATTGCACGACTTTTATATATTCGAAATTCTTGTTACCACCTTTTTATTTTACTCTGCATTAATTAGAGTTGTTTTTTAGGTCAAGATTTCTGTAAACTGGTTTATGAATGACAAACATAAACCAAATCAGTCTAGCAATTCTCAGGGCCAATAGAAATCAGAAAAAATAAATCTATGAACTTGATGGACTTCCATATTACAAAATTTCATAAAAATAAGGAAATTCATTTTCACTTGTGCTTTACAGATTCAGAGGAATTTACAGTGTCGAATCAAAGAACAAAGGAAGCAACTCGAGAAGATGTTTGATCAACAAAAAACAAGTAATAACTTGTTGAAAACACAGACCTTGGACATTCCGTGCAATGAAGGTGGCCTATCAAATAGTCTTTGTGATACTCAGGTTTCAGCTTATGAAGGCTCTGGAAACACTCAACTTTCCATTCAAGATAAGTCAGCCCAAGAAAGCAAATTGTTCAATGCTCATTCTCACACATAAGTCCTCATAGGGTTCTAAATCCCAGCAAAGTTCCAGTCACAGAACCTTACAAGCTACTGCATCATGCCATACAAAAGGCTACGATCCTATGGATATAGAAAGACTCTTGTTATTGCAACAATGGCTTATTTTTACCATAATGTTTTCATGCTTTTCGTGTATTCAAACTTGCAATTTTGTACTGTGTGTCTTTATTATGCAACTGCTCCACACACCCACCTTAAAAAATTATAAATAAATAAATAAAACTGAATTTTTTTCGATGAACAAAATGCTAAAATATGAATATGGTTTGAATACTTTAGGTTAAGTTTTATTCTTCTCCATAATAAGGTATATATAGGAGTTTACATAAGTGCTTTACAAGGAAATAGATAGTATCTCCTAATTATACAATGATTTGTCAACTATATAAAATAAGAAAGTAAATCCCTTAATTAATCAAGGAAATAAATCTCCTTGATTAATTAGGAGACTCACATCAACACAAAACTCTTCATGAGGATTTGAAAAAAGAAACACCAAGAACAAAAGTATGACACAGGCAAAAAAACAAAAAAGCGTTTCTCCCAGGATTCCCGAAGGAAAAATAGGTCAAAATACTACCATATGCCATATTAGAAGCACATGTTCTTAACAAAGTTAAGGAGTTTGTACCTTATTTATGGTAAATCATCGAGCCAATTATCTTCTCTCTAACATTTTGAAGGTGGTGATATAAGGCTTTGGGTAGAGACACTATCACAATGGATATAAAAGTGAAGAAGTGTGTTTCCATAACAATTGAAATTGCTGGTGTACCATTTATGTCCTGCATGTGAGAGCCAAATGACGAGTAATTTTTGGGACAAACACATGAAATTACTAACTTTTATTGACAAATGTCAATATTATATTGAAAATGACGCATTAATTTACAGCAAATTATTAGTGTAATATTTTCCTATTTTCACAAACACATATATATTAGGTGTATTGGTAACTAGGGGTAGGCATGGGTTAGGTTGGGTCGGTTTTGGTCCCAACTCGTAACTTAACCCAATATGGTTATGATTTCTTAGATTAAAATCAGCTCATTATTAGGCCAATCCAATCCAACCCAACTTTTTTATGATTGGATTGGGCGGTTTGGTCTGATTAACTCAAAATTAAGCTCACTGTTAAGTTTTGGTTTAAACCTGTAACTCAACCCATACAAAGTGGTTTATAATTTTATGAACCCATGACTCATTTATTATTAGGGCAACCCAACCCTCAAATGATCGGATTAGGCGGTAAGGTTGTGTTACCCGAATTGTGCCCACCCTTATTGGCAATGACGGATCCACACTCCAACGAAGTGCTGATTTTAAAGACTAAGCTTAATTGCACTCCCAATCTAGATAAATCAAATATTAGCTCATTTCTCTATGTAGAAATAAGCTCACCTCTTTGTAAATCAAATATACTCCCAACCATTGGATTGAATTTGGAGCCCGTGTGATGCAACTTTCGAGAGCCATCAATCAACGAACTTGACTCAAGCATGGCTTTGACAGCTTCTTGGGTTGGTAGCTGTCAGTTTTTCCTCAATCACTCACACACTCTCTCTTTTCTTTATCTTCTTTCTCTTCTTTTTTTCTTCTTTCCTTCTTTCCTTCTTTATTCTCTCTCTGTTTCTCTCTCTAATTTTTTTCCTGCGTTTCTCTTTTTTATTTTTATGCGTTTCTATCGTTTTCTACATTTATCTCTTTGTCTAGGTGTTGATGGAGCTAAGAACCACACCATCGTTCCAACAACTGCTATAATAGATCTCGGGGAATAAAAAATTAGCCGACCTCTATAAAAATTCATGGGTCCGCCATTACCTATTGGTAACTACTTGGTTACTTTAATTTCCTAGGCTTTTTAATGTATTAAAGCAAAATTATTTCTAGAACATAAAATTACGGTGCTTAATATGATTCTTGAATTCATGTACCGTGAGTATTCTTATAGCATGGGATAGGAGAGATGGAAGGTAGATATATTAGGTTAAAATGTTCTTCATTTCCTATTATGTTATCCTCACCGGCCTTTTAGTAATAAACAAAAAGTCAAATATTTATCTATATATTCAGTTGGCCACGACAGCGAATTTGCCCTTGCACAAAGTTCGAATCTCTTCTCCCAGTAATATTAAAACATAATTGTGTTCTTTGAAACAAGCAATATGAGCAGAGAATCGAAATAGGAATTGAGGTGCAGGAATTCAAAAAACAAAACAATATCCGAACTGGATTTAATGGTCGGTTTGGATTGGGCTGGTTCGGCCCATATTAGAATTCCCATCACATACATAGAACAAAATTTAGGAAGAAGAAGAGCCACATGCCCTAACGAGTAAAACAAAACAGAACAAACCGCACGCACTGCTCTGTTGCCGCGACACAGAGAGAGAGAGAGAGAGAGAGAGAGAGAGAGAGAACAGAACAGTAAGCAAATGGAAGACGTAAAGAAGAGAAAGATAGAAGAGGCTTCGGGCAACGGTGAAGAAATCTCAACATATTCAGAGGACCACTTGCGCTCCTTGCTTGACCCTCTTGCTAAACCCCAGCTCGTCGATCTCCTCGCTAAACTGTGCGTTAAACATTTTAATTTGTGATTTTTCTGAATTGGGTTTTCAATAATTTCTATATGTTTTCTAAATTTGATCCCTTTTGTCTTGATATTTCAATAATGGGTCATTGAATTTGAATATTGAGCTCCATTTTGCATGTGAGAATGCTTTGTATGGTGTACACGGGGTCCCTAAGAGAATTGTGTGGCTGTGTGATTGACTCTGTGCATGTGGTGTTTGGTTGCATGTTGAGGGGCATATAGAGGTTCCCAATATCCTTCAATTGCAGAAGAAATTAAGGGTGTTGCTAGTGCAGATCCTGTTCATCGAAAGCTTTTTGTTCGTGGGTTGGCTTGGAATACCTCATCAGATACCTTGCGTGCTGTGAGTGCATTGCTCGTTGTGCTTTGCATGTCATGCTTGTCTCACAACTGCATATCATATTGACTTAAAGACACCCAATTTGTCAAAAGAATGTATATATACGTATATATGATATGACCATGAAGCCTTGTTGTATTGTGCTGAACATTCATTGAAGGGTCTTTTCTGTTTTTTTTGTTCAGGCATTTAGTGAGCATGGAGAAATTGAGGAAGGGGCTGTCATCTATGACAAAGCAAGCGGGAAATCACGCGGCTATGGTTTTATTACTTACAAGTATATGGAGTCAACTCAGCATGCGCTCAGAGCACCTAGCAAGTTGATTGATGTAAGAATTTACCACATTGCGAGTCTAATTTCATTCGTTCGTTCAATTTGTCCATCTGTGAATACATACGCATTAAAAATAGAATTTGGTTTTTTGTTTTCTCTAGATTTTACCATGTAGATAAAGTAGGGTCGTGTTCATTTGAGTAAGGACGTGTTGACTGTGTATTCTCATGGTGTGTACATTAGGATTTCCAACCAAGCTACCCTAATAGTGAACTAGAAACATAAGGGTAACTTGGTTGGAAAGCCTATTATTCCATTTTGGTCCTGAAACTCAGATTTGTTTTCATTTGAGCTGTGGAGCATAATCTTATGAGGAAAAGGAAATGAAATTTAATGGTATTATCTGAATTATGTATTTCTATTGCAAAAGGTTATATGTGTGAGGTTGGCTATCTGTCAAATATTAGTAGTTTTTTCTATTTGAAAGAGCAACAATGTAAACTGTTAAAGAAAAAAAGAACTGAAGTAAAGTTATTTTGTAGTTGCCCCTTTTAATTGTTACTTTTCGGCCTTTATTAGAGGATACTGGCTTATTATGGTTTTTGTGGTTAACATGATTAAGGAAACTAGTAGAACTTTTAAATTATTTTGGCCTATAAGGTTAGTTAACTAAATGCTAGTTAACAAAATTCTTTATAGGGTAATTACATATATGTTCTTAAGAAAATTGAATGGGAAGTCAACTTTAGTTATAGAGACAATATTATAACTAATAACAAACGAGAGATGGCCAGGCGACATTTTTAAGGGGAGAGATTCCTATAAAATAAAAGCATTGTAGTTTCAATAAAGAGAAGGTAGTGTTACCTATTCCACTCCCCTCACCCCCCGAACTACGAACTGGTTTGATCATTCCCAATTGCGGAGTGTTCACTTCCCAAATCGTAGAAACTAACATTCTAGATGATTGTAAGGTGTAATAGCTGATATGTAGGTGGTAAGTCCAAACCCATGAATAAAAGGAAATGTAGTCATTTAAGTCAACCTCTTGATATATTCATTTAGTTGCATCGTTAATTCAATGAATGATATTTTTGAATAATTTTAATATAAAGTATCTATTAGCATGGGAGAGAGATTAAGTACTAATACTACATCAGAATTCAACGAATAATCAAGGGAAAGGTGCATAATTAATTCAATGAATGCTGTTTTTAAACATATAATATGAAGTATCTATTATGTAAATATAAAATTTAGAATAATTAACAACGACCCAAATTACATCACCGACTATGCCTACCCCAACGAATTCGTACCATAGAAACTAGTCAACGGTGGAACTAGGAATTTTTTAATGGGTGGGCTAGCTAAAATTTTTAGCTTAAAATATAATGTTTTTTTTAAAAAAACAAAAAGAAGGAAGCAAAAAATCAATACTGTAGCTTACACGTTTATGATCTACACGTGGATGCCAGTCATTGGTTTAAAATAACAGAAAACAAAATTAGAAAAGGAAGCAGACTACTTGTTGGCCAATATAGATATGGGTTTTTCCTTCAAAAGCTACCTGGGCTACAGCCCACCTTAGTCGTGGCTGTGGTTCCGCCCTTGAAACTAGTGAATCATGTGCTCTTTTTCTTTCCACGTACTGTATTGTTCCCTGTACCAGGTAACATTGTATCACATATATATATTCATTCATTTATATTCTCCCCCTCATATAAAAATCTTTGCCTGGGCAGCACTCTAGGCCTAGCTGAGCCAATTAATAGCTCTGACTCCTTTTGTGAACCATGACAGGGTTTTATTTTCACTTCTATATTCTTTTTTTTTGAAAGGAAACTTTGCATTAGAAATCGAGAGGATAAGAAATCCTCGATTAACAGCAGAAAAGAGCTTGAAAGGACAACAGCAGAATAGAGCTTGCTAGGACAACAACTAGAGAAAGAGCTAGAAAACAGAAAAACTAAAGGCTCAGGACACCTGAAAACCCCTAAATTAGAACTGCTACCAAGTCTCTCATGATTGTGGAGTAATGGTAACCATTGAAATGGCCTGAGACAGACGCCCAAATCGAAGCCCAAAATTTAACTCGCTCCCAAACTTCATCAATGCTCGCATCTTTGTAATCTTGAAAAATCCTACGGTTTCGCTCCAGCCAAACATTCCAAAAGATAGCGTGAGTGAGGCATTTCCACAGAGTAAGGGCTCTTTTTTTTTTACCAAGCACGACCCACTTGATGCTAAGAAGATCATAACAGCCTCTAGGGGTCACCCAAGTAACACCAAGAGCACTCAAGAGTTTCCACCATAGGTTCAGGGAAAAAGGGCAATGAAGGAGCAAATGATCGGTGTTTTCTGCGCTATTCCTGCAAAGAACACACCATGATGGGGATAAACACATCAACGGGTGTCTTTTTTGGATCAGATCGCAGGTGTTGATTTTCCTCAAAGCGATCAGCCATACAAGGAATTTAACTTTTGGGGGAGACTTTGCCTTCCAAATGGAGGTAAAGGGGGAGAAGGTTATCCTTGTATCGTTACAGAGGAGAAAAGTCCTGAAGGACTTGCAAGAAAATGACCCATGGTCCTCTAAATCCCAGATTCTTTTGTCCGCTCTAGTGCCAATAACTCTCACCTCCTCCAGAATATCCAAGAGATTCACCACTTCACTAATCTCTGCCTCCATTAAATTTCTTCTGAAACTGAAATCCCAATTATGAGGGGTTTCAGAGGTGTTGACAAAGTCCGAAATCTTAAGGTTCTTTTTCCTAGAAAGTGAGAATAACCTTGGAAATAGAACCTGCAGAACACTTCTATATTCTTTCAGTTACTTAAAATTTTTATTTTCCCCAGGGTCGCCTGGCTGTTTGTAATCTAGCTTGTGAGGGGTTAAGTGGGACAAGTGCTACCCTTGATCTTACCCAGAGGAAACTCTACATTGGGGGCTTGTCACCAAATGTCACAAGTGAGATGCTGCTCCACTTTTTTGGCAGGCATGGTGATATAGAAGAGGGTTCAGTTGCATATGACAAAGATACGAATGAGTCACGGTATAATTAAACTTTCCTCATTCATTATGTCGAAAAACTTATATTCTCTACCTGTATCCTTTCCACAATATGTTTGCTGCCAACTGTGCAATGATTGTGTTTTTCTTTCCTTTGTAGTGGGTTTGGCTTTGTTACATTCAGGACAGTGGAGGCTGCAAAGAAGGCCATAGACGATCCACAAAAGACCCTTGGGGTTAGTGAATGATAAGCCTTATGTCTATTGGTAGCATTTCATTTAGCTTCTTAAATGCATGATCCGTCGATAATAATCCTGAGTGGGTTTATGCCCAAAGTAGTTTTCTGTTGTTGGGCGTGCAAATATTTATATGATTTTAGAAACAAATTGAATTTATTTTCCTGGAAATATTTAATTTCAAATACTACATGAGAATGATTTTAAATGTTTTTGTCCATGTTTTCTGTTTAAATGTGAATAATGTGTAAATCCTCACGCCAGATTTTGTTTTGGTTTCTGAGACGTATTTTTACCTCATTATCCTTAGGGATCATTGTTCACGTTGCTTCAATTATAGCAAATGATCACTAAATGAAATTGGGCAATGGGACTGTGATTGGGATATGTCTGGGAAGAGGTTGCTTAAGTGAAATTGTCCATGCATGCTTTAAAAAATGATTAATTATCTGCTAGATAATGTTCGCTTCTAGCTTTTATGCCTTTTTGAATTTGCAAATTTTATGTAACTTTTTTTTTTCTTAACATGGTGGTTGCCCGTGCTTAGATAATGCTACTTGTATTGTTGTAATTTTCTTGTGGTGGTGACCACATGGTGTATGGTTGGGGTTCCAGCTCTGAGAAATGCCTTCTGAGTTGTCTGAACTCAAGTTGAGGAACGAACTGCTGAAGCCTTGTAGTTTGACTGTTTCTTTATTATTTCTAAAATAATTCTAGCAGAATAGAGCATGTGAAGAAAATAGGGAGGAAAGGTTATTTCGGATAGGAGCAATTTTGATGACTTTATGGGCTTATTTGTCTAAGAATTTGAGGGACATTTCCTTTTGTTAATTCATCTTGCTTGGGCATTCATTGTGAATTAATTGTGATATTTTTCTTATAAAACAAGAAGAAAGAAACCTGATTTCTCAGATTCTTTTGTTTTTCATCAGGTAACATAGCTTAGTGCAGCTTCTATGTATTGCCATTGTGGTTAGATCTGTAGTCCCTGGCAAACAAATTCCTATTAGCACATGGAAGCAATTGTCTAAAGTTTATGTTTGGTTGCAGGGGAGGAATATCATTGTGAAGCTTGCTGATTCCCACAAGGGCAGAACAGTACAAGCACAGCTACCCCCAGCAATGGTTCCGATGGCCTTACCTCTAGCGGCTGGATATCCCCAGCCTGGAAAAGCACATGCAGGCGCAACCCCTGTTGGCTACGGCTATCCTCAAACTGTAGCAGCATACCCTGATTCTTCTTACCCAAGTCCTCCCACAGCTCCATACCAGGCACAATCACAAATTCCCTATCCATATTACATTGGCAAACAATGACTGATGACAGTTTTCAGGATGTGGTAATATTCAAGTTCCCTTGCCTTCTTTCATTTTTACCATGATTTTATTACGATTACGGCCAATTCTGATTATATTTCTCTCTCTCTTGACATGCTTGGTTTTGCAGGCCTCTAATGTGTGCTGGGAGTCGTAGATGGCATAGAAGCTATATTTCTGTGAGGGGGGTGTCTTACTAGAAATTTTGCTTATTGTTGTAATATTAGGCCGGAATAGTTGAAAATCTTTCATTTGTCAGTAGGTATAGTTTACTTTTTACTAATGTTATAATTGGAATAATGTTTTCCATATGGGGATGGGGAGACATTGTTAAATGAGATACTGTACTATAGTTTAAAATGTATCTGTCAATCCATATGTACAAACTTACTTATTTATTCAGGCCGAATTTGTTGACACTGTTTTGAGAAGAGATGAACTATACATTTCCATGAGAACACAAATGGGAGAACTTCAAACAAGGGTCACTACCTTACAATATGAAAATTAGTAAATGCTCAACGAATGTTGGATGTTGAAGTTACTTTATCATTCATTTGAATAAAGAAAAAAACTATTTTTGTAAACGAAAAATGTCCAAAATGTCAATTAGCTGCTGTTTTTGTATAATTAAAAGTTAAAATTAATTTAGAGTTCCAAAAAAAGTTTAAAACGAATTTAGTAATTTAATTCTACTTTCATAATCAATTGCATATAAAGTAACACACTTTTTTTCATAATATAAACCCAGTTAGAATATAAATTTTGAAATAACACTTTTTATAATTTATTTTCTTGTCCCTGCTCTTTTAACTTGTACACCAGCTCGAGGATGGGGATGACAATGGGTCGAATTGGGGTTGGGTATGTCATTCCCATCCCTATACTCGTTAAGCTTTTTTCCCATTCCCGCCTTCATACCCGTAATATTCATATCGGGGATTTTCCATTCTCACATTCGTTGGGGAATGGGTTCCCCGACCGGCCCCATTACGGAAAAAAAAATCAATATATAACTACTTTGTTGAAAGAAAAAAAAATTACTAAGGCAAGATAATGAATATATATATAATATACTTATAAGACAATATAAGAATGTTTATATATGTACTGGAAGTTAACTAAATAAATAATTAGTGTGGCTTAAGATTTGTATAAATTATATAAGTATATAATATAATAATATAAAATATAAAACTGTACAATCACTTTAATAGCATATATATATATATCGAAGAGGGTTCGGGTTAGGGATTAAAATACCATCCCCGCAAAATTCCATGTACCCATCCACATACCCCTTTTTGGTTCTTCATACCCGACCCATTAGGGTCGAATCCCTGCGAAGACCCTTACTCGCAGGGAAAATTGCCATCCCTACTCGAGGAAAATACTTCCATCATTCCCTTGTAAGTAGGAACTGCTATATTCCTAACAATGACAGTATGATATGTGTGCATAATTTTTTCTTTTTAGATTTTTAATGAATTATTTTCGAGCAAGTCAAACTGTGGTTTTTAGACGAGCTCGCTTATTATCTGCTGTATTCTTTCTTTTTTGTTTGTCTCTTACTTCTGCATTGGATGGAAAAGTGGCTCTCAAACATCATTCCCAGCGCCGGTGATGTGCAATATGATAAGAGAACCAATTGGGGAATTCAGTTTGAGCGAAGCTCAATTGCTTCGCAGATCAATGCCAAGAATTGAATCTGCCTCTCAATCAGCAGCAATGCGGCAAACTCTGCAGCTGAAGCTCTAAATCTTTCTGTGTAGCGGGAGGAGGCGAGCTCATCTGCCCGCATATATGCATTTATATCCCATTGTCCCAAGGTACTGCAATATGATAAGAGAACCAATTGGGGAATTCAGTTTGAGTGAAGCTCAATTGCTTCGCAGATCAATGCCAAGAATTGAATCTGCCTCTCAATCAGCAGCAATGCGGCAAACTCTGCAGCTGAAGCTCTAAATCTTTCTGTGTAGCGGGAGGAGGCGAGCTCATCTGCCCGCATATATGCATTTATATCCCATTGTCCCAAGGTACTATGTTTCATCCCAAAAGACTTCAACTTTCATTTATATTCAGCTGAATCTTGGCCTTTTAGGTTTTCTGATAATCACTAGGCTTGAAATCTCATCAAACTGGTTATGACCCATTTGCACAAATTAAGAACAGCATCTGTTCTCAAATGGGTTTCTTCAAATTTTGATGAAAACCACCTTAGATCAGCAAGAACCCCAATTCAGCTAATTGGGTACTTCCCCAATGGCCAAACCCCTAGGTTTTACAAAACTGAAAGGTCTCCTGTAACTGAAAGTTGTGAAAACGTGGATAGAACTTCGACTGGTAATGGCAAAATTTCTGGTCGAATTTCTCGTGCTGTTAAAAAAGAAGCACAAGCTGCATTGTTGGATTATTTGTATTGTACTAGAAGCTTACATTTTGTGGATGCAGAGAATATGAGTAAAAACACTCCACATTTTCTCAAGAAGCTTATAAAAAGTGCGGATAATGGAAAGAAAATTGGGCAGACGATTGCCCGGTTCTTGCGCTACCACCCTATTAATGAGTTTGAACCTTTCTTAGAGAGCTTGGGTTTGAAACCTCCCGAGTATGTTCCTCTTCTTCCTCATAAATTGATGTTTTTGATCGATGACGATTTGCTGCTTCATAATTATGGTGTTTTATGTCATTACGGGATTGCACGTAATAAGATAGGAAAGATTTATAAGGAAGCCACTGAAGTCTTTCAATACCAAGTTGGGGTTTTGTTATCAAAGCTTCAAGCTTATGAAGAACTAGGTCTTAGCCAATCTGCTTTGATTAAGTTTGTTGTTGCTAGTCCTTATCTTTTAATTGGGGATGCAAATGCTTCATTTTTAAAGTTACTGGGAAAACTTAAGAGTCTTGGATTCGAAATCAGTTGGATTCAGAGGAACTTATCAGAAGAAAATTCTTATAATTGGAGCCGGATGCTTGAAGTTCTAAGTTTTCTTAGTAAGATGGGTTGCAGCGACAGACAGCTGGGTGAATTAATTGGCCAGCACCCAGATATTTTATTTGAGGCTTCAGGGGAAAGGACATTTTCAATAATTGGGTTCTTGCTGAAGTTTGGATCCAGAATGAGCCAGGTATATTCACTGTTTCTGCAGTTTCCCCGAATTCAAGTTATGAAATTTGGTTTGAATTTGAGGAAATGTTTTTTTTTCCTGAATGAGATCGGAATGAAGGTTCCAGGGATTGGGAAGATCATCCGTTCTCACCCCCTGCTACTGGGTTCATGTGCTTTGAAGAAAACTAACACCTTACTTCTTCACTTGAACATTGGGAAGAAGAGCTTGTGTAGATACATCCAGGAGAACCCGCAAGAATTGAAGCACTGGGTTTTGGGTAGAAGACTTAGGCCATTAGACTGGGGAAACAACCTTAGATCAAAGACAGAGAAGGCTAAATTCTTGTTAGACATAGGATTCGTAGAGAACTCAAACAAAATGAAAGAAGCTCTAAATGAATTTCAAGGCAACGGATGGGAGCTTCAGGAAAGATTTGATTGTATTGTGGAAGCTGGTTTCGATCATGAGGAAGTCTGCCAAATGGTTAAAGTATCACCGCGAATTCTTAGCCAGTCAAAGGATGTTATTGAAATGAAGATTGATTTTCTTGTAAATCATTTGTGTTATCCCTTATCAACTTTACTCATCTTCCCAAAATATCTTACCTATGGAACTAAAAGGGTCCAGCATAGGGTACTTATGTACAATTGGCTCAAAGATCATGGAACAGATCCTACGTATGCCTTGAGCACTGTTGTTTCTTGCTCAGATGTATATTTTCTGAGGAAGTTTGTTAATCATCATCCTAGTGGTCCTCAAGTTTGGGAGGATTTGAAGAGTAAAATTTATTCAAAGCAATAAAATGTTCATTGATTCTCCTGAAGGTTCAGCAGTGTTTATTATCACCAAGTTGATGCTAGCGTGTTAGTTTTTTTCTTATTGAAGCTCTTGGGATTGAATTGCTAAAAGAAATTGAGAAGGAATCTGAAAACTGATATGAAACAGATGAAGAGGTGAAAGCTCATGCTTGGTATAGCTTTGCCATGATAGAATGATTTTATTTATGGTGGTCTGCATAAAACTAACAATCCAGTCTACTTAAAACCAAAACAATTCAAAACAGTCTTAACTGAATTTGAGTGACAAATCAACAAAAGAAAACTGAAGTATGGATGAAGGTGATAATCATGATTAGGATCTTTTGTTTATAATGATAATCAATTCTAGGTTAGATATGAATATTGTGTTTGAATTGATTGGTTTCTTGCTTGAAATTGTATAATGAAACTTTAAGAATATAGTTTCTATGTTCGTGAAGGTTGCATATGCATTAGATTATTTGAAATGGTATATTTATTTCTATTTTACTAATCTCTCCTAAACTATAACATGTATCTCACATTCATCCTTAAATTTGAAAATGACCCACTTATACAATAATTAGTGTGTTTAAGGGAAAACATACAATATTGCTCAAGTTCAAAAACTTGAAGGCTTATATACACATTCAATCTTTCCTCGCCCGGGATGATGAATTGACAACCTAATAGTTGTGTGTGAAGCTGGAGGAGTTGTTCTTTGTTGATGCCTTAGCTCGAAGCCGTTTTACATCGTGCCATCATTTGTGTTACAAATCAAGCGCTGTAGACTCAGTTTTGTTTGCTCTGTCTCTCTGTCTCTCTCTCATTTGGTTGGAATGTAGAATCATGGAATGGCTATGTAAATTTATCTTGACAGAAAGAAATCAAACCAAAATTTAGAAAGAAAAAAAAAAAAGTTGAAATGAGATGCTTTTCTTTATTGAAATGAAAATGTAAAAAGATTTACATGGAATTAGAATTGGAAGGTTTTGCATCACTGCTACATGCATAACAAGTCCATGTATGCAAAAGACATTTTATATTTTCCAAGTTAATAAAAAAGTAGTAAGGAAATGGGTAGTGCCACACTACAAAACATTTTACTGCATGCCATGGCTATTTTTCAGATGAGTGGCTAAGCATTTTCACTCACAATCGTCTTGTGTATCTGTTACGCGAGCATTATAAAATAGTTCACTAAAAACTTGTTTGGATGTAAATATAAACAAATCGCGAAGTAAAATTGCACTACTCTTTGTTCTTTTTTTAAATCTCTTTTTTTCCTTTATCCTGTGCACTCATTATTTATTTTTTATTTTTTATTTTTATAAAAGCGATATTAGAGGAAAGGAAATTCAAACACATGACCTTAAGTAAGTACATGACTAATATTACCATTAACTACTTAAGCTGTAAATCCCTTGCCATTGCTTTTTATTATATAAGAAAGAAAGAGGAGTGCGAGGATATATTTTTGGAGTATCAATAGGCCCTTGAGATAGAAGCTCCTTGTTACATCTAAAGTGATTAAAAATATTTATTCTGCACCCGAGGTAGTTCATAGGTTCGATTCTCCCTTCCCAACTATCACCTCCCAAAACAAAAAAATCTAATATAACCTCCCTCCTCCTGGCATGCCAATTTTGAATGGTGTCCCTTATTTCTAAAACCCCTAAAATTGCGAAGTCGGAGACTGAGACTTTTGAGCAAAAGAAAAAAAAGAGTCGGAGACTGAGAACCGTTCGGCAACAAAAATATTGTAAGGCAGACCCTCAACCTGAAGGCAGCAGCGGTATGAGATAAGGAAGGGATTGACCTTTCTAACGCATATTCAGTCGTACCGGCATGGCCCCACTACAGAGGAAGCTCTGAGTCTTGTTCAGTAGAGAGGCGTTGCCGCATATCCATCAAAATCTCTAAGGTAATATTTTCTCCCTAGACTTCATGTTCATTTCTGTTCAGCAGAGAATACCTTTTGGGTTCTAACTTCTAATAATCACTAGGCTTGGAATCTCATCGAAATGCTCATGACCCGTTTGCAAAAACTCACAACAGCATCTGTTCTGAAATGGGTTTCTTCTAGTTTTGCTGAAAACCACCTTAGACTATCAAGAACCCCACTTCAGCCAATTTTCCCCAATGCCCAAACCCTTAGGCTTTACAGTTCGAGAAGAGGTCTTGAAACTGAAAATTCTGTAAACTTGGAGAACACTATGACGTCTAATGGAGAAAATGCTGCTCGAATTTCTCGAATTATTATAAAAGAAGCACAGGCCGCATTGTTGGATTATTTGCATTGTACTAGAGGCTTGCAGTTCATGGATGCAGAAAATATGAGTAAAAACTCGCCACATTTTCTTGAGAAGCTGTTGAGAAGGGTGGATAATGAAAATGAAGATGAAGTTGGGTGGTCAATTGCCCGGTACTTGAGGTATCACCCTATTAATGAGTTTGAACCTTTCTTTGAGAGCTTGGGCTTAAAACCTTCTGAGTATGTTCCTTATCTTCCGCGTAGTTTGATGTTCTTGACTGATGATGGTTTGTTGCTTCATAATTATACTGTTTTGTGTCGTTATGGGATTGCACGCAATAAGATAGGAAAGATTTATAAAGAAGCAATAGAAGTCTTTCGATATGATTTTGAGGTTTTGTCATCAAAACTTCAAGCTTATGAAGAACTAGGTATCAGCCAATCTGCTTTGATTAAGTTTATTGTTGCTAGTCCTTATCTATTAATTGGGGATGTGAATGCTGCATTTGTTGAGGTATTGGAAATATTGAAGAGTTTTGGATTTGAAACCTGTTGGATTGAGGAGAATTTGTTGGAAGAACATTCTTATAATTGGAGCCGGATGCTTGAGGTTCTACATTTGTTTAGTGAGAAGGGTTGCAGTGATGAGCAGTTGGGTGTACTAATTGGTCAGCACCCAGATATTTTATTTGAGGGATCAGGGAAAACAACATTTTCACTAATTGGATTCTTACTGAAATTTGGGTTCACTATGAGCCAGATATATTCAATGTTTCTGAAGTTTCCAAAAATTCAAGTTATGAAATTTGTTTTGAATTTGAGGAATTGCTTTTTGGTCTTTAATAAGATTGAGATGGAGGTTGCAGAGATTGGGAAGATTATCCGTTCTCACCCCCTGTTACTGGGTACAATTGCTATAAAAAAAACCAACACCTTACTTGCTGGCTTGAACGTCGGAAAGAAGCGCCTGTCTAGATACATACAGGAAAACCCAGAAGAATTGAAGAATTTGGTTTTGGGTAGAAGAGTTGAGCCACTTCCAGCAGCCGAAGAGGACCAAATATCAAAGGCACAGAAGCTTGAGTTCTTGTTAGACAAAGGTTTTGTAGAGAACTCAAACAAAATGAAAGCAGCACTAAAATTATTTCGAGGCAAAGGAACCGAGCTTAAAGAAAGATTTGATTGCATTGTGAATGCTGGTTTGGATCGCGAGGATGTCTGTAAAATGATTGAAGTATCCCCGCAAATACTTAACCTGAAAAAGAGTGTGATAGAAAAGAAGATTGATTTTCTTGTAAATCATTTGGGTTATCCCGTATCATCTCTGGCAGACTTTCCATCATATCTTTCCTATAGAACTGAAAGGGTCAAGTTTAGGGTATTCATGTACAATTGGCTCAAAGGTCAAGGAGCGGTAGACCCTAGGCTTGCCTTGAGCACTATTGTTGCAATGTCAGATGTTAAATTTTTGAAGGTATATGTAAATCTTCATCCTACTGGTCCTCAAGTTTGGAAGGATTTCAAGAGTAAATTTTATTCCAAGTATTAAAATATTATATTCTTCTCCTGTTAAGGTTCTGCATTGCTGGGTGATCCCAAGTTGGTACTAATATACTTGATCCTTTTTCTTTTACATGCTGAGATTTTTATTGAGCATGAACAGTTTCCAGGTGATATGGCACAAAAGAACAAGCACAGGCAAAATAGAATTAAGACCAGATTATTTTAAGTGTGTGTTGTGTATATATTTAGTATTGACTGTCCGTTGAGCATAATGCTAAGTGTTAAAGTTGCATCCAACCGAAACAAATTGGCAATGGGTAGGGTTAGAAGATTTTATGTATTTAGATACAAGTTCTAAAATGTCTTATGCCAGAATTTATATTCTCAAGATCCCCCTCAAGTGTGATCCTAGTGAACCAAAATATGTGTTTCAATAATATCGGTTGACATGGAGCACGTTTGGTCAAACTAGGCCTCACATGTAGATAAATTATCATTGGTGTACAATGTTAAAGCTGGAGAAGCTGACCAAAAAGTAATTGGCAATAAGTGTATATACTGGGGATTTTGTATATGTGGTGTTAAGAATGCTTGATATATGCTGGGGATTCAATGATTCCATCATGTTTGCATTTTACAGTGATGAAATGATTTAGTAATATCATCACTATTATAATGCAATTCTTCTTTTCGTTTTTCACATACTGATATTTGAGTTTTCATTTATGTGCAGATTTTTCTTAGTTTTGTTAATTTTGGTGCATCTCCACTTTCCATATAGCAAATTGTACTTTCACATACTCAGTAAAACTGTTTAACCTCACAAACCTGAAATCCTGTCCTCCCTTTTTGACATCTATTATCAGAGTTTGATTTTCTCATTTGAACTTTCAGTGTTATAAAAGACTGCAGTGATTTTACCAAAGGCATTCTAATTTGATGTTGCTGCATCAGGAAAATCGTTGGTGCAATGAGCGTTAGTTAAATTTCAGCTATTATATGTTAAGTTTCATCTTTCTTTTGTAGTAATTTTGAAATCCTTGGCCATGAGTTGCCAAAGAAAAATTCTTCTCAGGAAACTGATAGAAAACAGATGAAAGAGTGAAACCACATATTTGGCTCATGCTTTGATTTCCAGGGTAGAATGAGATCGTGGTGGTTTCTACATAAAAGCTAACAGCTCGTCTTATCTGGCGGCATCTCACCCGCCTTCAGGGACTCTAATGATTAAAGATTATGAACACTCAACTGCAACGGGGCTGTTGCAGTTTGTTTGCCTTTTTCGGAGGCTCTTTCCTTTGCTGTTTTCCTTTGACTTCACAAGAGGCACTTGGTCAGGGCAATGTGCTCACCCCTTTTATCCCAGATCGAATCATTCTCACTGTAGATTTGTGTAGTTTAGACTATTATTTGTATTAATTTTTTTTTTGATTTAAAAGTAAAAAAAGAAAAACCATGTAACAGAGTGTATGCAAAGCATTCACCATGACATGTTCCTAAAACACCTTATCACCCCTACATCCGTGGCCTTAGGTTCGGTTTCCCTTTCCCCAAAATATCGCTGGTATAAAAAAGAGAACACCCTAATATATATCCATTCATGATTCTATTTTTCAACTAATTTATCTTTTAATAAATAAAAAAAACTAATTTATCTTTTATTTTCAACTTCACAAACTGGACAGAATTGACCTGCCTCTTTTGACTGGGCCTACAAATGACCTGGACCTAACTTCCTAAAATTATGATTTGGCCCAAAATAAAATGATAGAAAGAACGGAAATGGAGTAGGCCGAGATTAACCAAACAAATGTCCTTCTAGTGGGCACGTTAGGTGATAAAACACTATTGACCTAAACAAGAAAAACTATATATCTAAAACCCTTCTGGCGACTAGAGAGTTCTGCAACCAAAACCCCGTGGAAAGGCAACGACTCAGTAAGCATCAGTACCGAAAGCTCCTGCTGCTGAAGCTCTAAATCTTTCTTGAGGAGTGAGCTCATGCCTAAGTGTTGCTCAAAATTGCAAGGTACCATTTCATCCAAAGACTTCATATTCATTTATTTTAAGCTGAATCTGGGGATTTTTGGATTCTCTTCAAACTGGTCATGACCCATTTGCAGAAACTCAGAGTGGCATCTATTCTCAAATGGGTTTCTTTAAATTTTTATGAGAACCACCTTAGATCATCAACAACCCCATTTCAGCCAATTGGGTCTTTCTCCAATGCCCAAAGCCCTAGACTTTACAGAACAAAAAGAGCTTCTGAAGATAAAGATTCAGAAAATGTGGATAAGCCCTCAACTGGTAATGAAAAAAATGCTGGTCAAATATCTAGTTCCATTAAAAAAGAAGCGCAAGCTGCTTTGCTGGATTATTTGCATGGTACAAGAGGGGTACAATTCATGGATGCAGAGAATATGAGTAAAAACTCGCCGCATTTTCTGGACAAGCTTTTGAAACAGGTTGATAGTGAAAAAGAGATTCTTATGAAAAAGAATAATGAAAAAGAAATTGGGCGAGAAATTTCCCGGTTCTTGAGGTACCACCCCATTAATGAATTTGAGCCTTTCTTTGAAAGCTTGGGTTTGAAACCTTCTGAGTATTTTCCTCTTCTTCCGCGTAGTTTGATGTTTTTAACTGATGATCAGTTGTTGGTTCACAATTATACTGTTCTATGTCATTATGGGATTGCACGCAATAAGATAGGAAAGATTTACAAGGAAGCGACTGAAGTCTTTCAATATGATTTTGAGGTTTTGCTATCAAAACTTAAAGCTTACGAAAAACTCGGTCTTAGCCAACCTACTTTGATTAAGTTTTTTGTTGCTAGTCCTTATCTTTTAATTGGGGATGTAAATGTGGAATTTGTTAAGGCATTAGAAAACTTGAAGAGTATTGGATTTGAAACCAATTGGATTGAGGGGAATTTATCGGCAGATAGTTCTTATAATTGGAGCCAGATGCTTGAAGTACTAAGGTTGTTTAGTGAGATGGGTTGCAGCAATGAGCATTTGGGTGAATTGATTGGCCAGCACCCATATATTTTATTTGAGGGTTCAGGGGGAAACACAATTTCACTAATTGGATTGTTACTGAAATTTGGATCCACAAAGAGCCAGTTATGTTCAATGTTTCTACAATTTCCACCGATTCCAGTTGTGAAATTCGTTTCAAATTTGAGACAGTGCATTTTGTTCCTGAATGAGATTGAGATGAAGGTTTCAGAGATTGGGAAGATTGTCCATTCCCATCCCCTGCTACTGGGCTCGATTTCTTTGAAAAAAGCTAACAGCTTACTCAATACCTTGAAAACTGGGAAGACAAGATTGTGTAGATATATCCAGGAGAACCCACAAGAGTTGAAGAATTGGGTTTTGGGCAAAAGAGTTGATCCATTTCCAGGCTCAGGAGAAAACCGTATATCAAAGACACAAAAGACTAAGTTTTTGTTAGATATAGGATTTGTAGACAACTCAAACAAAATGAAAAAAGCTCTTCGAGGAAAGGGAGGGGAGCTTCAAGAAAGATTTGACTGCATTGTGAAAGCTGGTTTGAGTCAGGAGGATGTCTGTGAAATGATTAAAGTAAGCCCTCAAATTCTTAACCAGACAAAGGATGTCATTGAATTGAAGATTGGTTTTCTTGTAAATCAATTGGGTTATCCCCTGTCATCCTTGTTGACCTTCCCAAGATATCTTTCCCATAAAATTGAAAGGGTCCAGCATAGGATATTCATGTACAATTGGCTCAAAGATCACGGAAAAGCTGATCCTGGGCTTTCCTTGAACACTATTATTTCTTGCTCAGATACATATTTTATAAAATATTATGTAAATCGTCATCCTAGTGGTCCTCAAGTTTGGCAGGATTTGGAGAACGAAATTTATTCCAAGTACTAAAGTATTCATTGCTTTTACTGTTTTGTTTTTGTTTTTTTTTCTTTCTGCATTGCTGGTTTTCTTAAGTTGATACTAACATACTTTTTCCTTGTTTATTTTACATGCTGAGAATTTTCTTTTGAGCATTTACAGGCAAGATGACATATATGAATATATACAAGCAAAGTTTATTTAGCACCAGGTTGTTGTACCTTGTAAGTGTGTGTTCATGTATGCGTGCATTTCCCGTCGTGAGTAATTGACCGTCCATGTTCTACATAGATGCTAAATCAGTCTCTGTTTTTCTTTTTTATATTTTTTTTCTGAGAGAAATCAGTCTCTGTTTATAATGGTGAAAGTCATTTGATGATTTTTTCTATAATCTAATGCAGTTTTCTTTTTTATTTCACCCTTTTTGTTCCGATGTGCAAGATCTTGTTAGTTATGACTTACTGAGTACATCGCCACTTTACCACAGCCAATTGCGCTTCCACATCAATAGTTGTTCAGCTTAAAATAGCTTATCATCATGAGATTACCCTGAAAACTTATGTCATCAGTTTGACTTCTGTTAGCATAGGTCAACAGTTATCTGGTTTTAGTCTTATAAAAGTTGCAGTGCTTTACCTGAGTTATTGTTATTTCATGTTGCTGCCATAAGGAGAATGCTTGGGGTAATAAGAAATAGCATGCATCGTTTGAATGAAATTTGACCTATTATCCTTCAAAATACTTCCCATCGTTTGTTTTACAGATTTGGAACTCTTGACCACGAGTTGCCAAAAACAGATGAAAAGGTAGAGCAATGATCTGCAATGGTGGCTCACGCTTGCTGTAGTCTCTGCATGAAAGCATGAATGAAGGAAATGGCCTATGCTGAGAGAAAACTGTTAGCTTGGTTGAGAGTTTATACTTTCACCTTTTTCTTTCGTTTCTAAATTTTGTTGAAAGCCTTGAAGTAATTGTTATTGAAATGGTGTACATGATTTTCAAACTGGCTGTGCCCGTAGTTGGATTATTGCTCAATGGAGTTTGTTGAAGCCTAGAAGCATTCTAAAGCATGTTCATTAACAGATTCACTGTTCTTGAGGTCGAGAAGCTTGTGTTATGTGCTATCTCTATTTTGTTCCATTTCTTATCGGATTAAAGAGCAATTGGCACTAGCCGTCACTCTGATTTAGATGTTCTACTCGACCCAACTTGAGGCTTGAGTTCCATTTCTTGTCGTTACAAAATTTCGTAGTTTTTGGTTACATAAAAAGTAAAAAGTAAAAAGTAAATACAAGCGAAGGCCATTGCAACCGGCATACACCATGGCCACGGTCATGGCCTTTTAGAAATGTTATTGACGCTACCAGAAACGCTTCCACTCATACCTTTACCTAGAAGATAACTCAAGTATTTCTACCCGTGGGTAAGGTTGCTTCATCCATATCATTAAGCCATTCTTAGTGTTAAAATGAGGTGCTTTGTTTTTCTCGAGTTTAATACTCCTAAAATGAGGTGCTTTGTTTTTCTCGAGTTTAATACTCCTAAAATGAGGTGCTTTGTTTTCTACCCGTGGGTAAGGTTGCTTAATATACTCGTTTTTTTAAAGTAAAACACATTTTTGGTCACTGTGTATACAATACAAAGTAAATAATGGTTTTCTTTTTGGTTTTTAAAAATAATATTTTACGAGTTTTGAAATTTTAAATTGTTAGTGGGGAGCATATCCGCTCTAACCGACACAGATAAAATTGAAAGTGCAAAATGAACCGGAATGACCATCCTTGACGAAAAAAAGGCTATAACACGTGTGATACTTTTTAGAGTGCTGTTATTTCCACCCCGTGTCTTATTTCTCCATTCACCTTATGTTCAAAATTTTAAAGACAAATTTACCTCTTTGTAAAATGACTTCTAAGAGCATCTCCAACCGATATGTCAAAAGTGCCACATAGACATTTAACAGTTAGAAATAACATCTCACACACTCCAATCGATGTGTCAAAACTGATGTGGAATGAAGGCTGAAGATTGAGATGTTATTTTTGACATCCCAAAAGCAAGATGTCAAATGAATATTTTATTATTATTTTTTTCTATTCTTTTTAATTAAAAATAAATCAACACTAAAATGTAATAAAATAATAATTTAATTTAACATATCGGGTGGAGTGTAAAGCTGTGTAAGATGTCAAATTGCCACATCAGCCATCAATTTTAAATTTGACATCTCCCTTGGAGATGCTCTAAGGACTTATCGAAAAAAACTACAGACTAATAACGTTATGACATCTGGATCATATATGTCATTAATAAATATTTTTATTAACTTTATGAATAAATCTTCAACTGCTCCCACTCTCTCTCCTCCCAATTAATTGGCAAACCCTTTTCCCCTCTTCTTCTTCCTCCCCTTCGACCCTCTCCACTATATTATTCGTCCATTGTTGAAGAAACATTTTGCAGCTGGCTATAAATTAATGGAGCAGATTGGTAATAGCAATCTTTTTATTCAAATTTGTATTATGACGTAAGTCGAAACTCGAAATCAAAGATTACAAATAAAATAAAATAGATTTTTTTTGTTGTTGAAAAACCTAGAAAGTAGCAGAGTGCTTTTATTTTTTGTTGTTGGACTAAGGAAAATAAAAACCCAACAAATGATTCCTCCTCTAAGGTTGATACAAGCTGTGCTTGTACTCAAAGAGAAAAAAGTAAAGGAATTTAGAGGTGGATTATAGTTAAAAGGATACATATGGTTGGTTCCTAAAAATTTCTCGATCGACAATATGTCCCCGCCGAAGCGCCTGCGATGGAGATCAAACCAGAAATGGGGAAAGAGGAATCGAAAAAGAGACGGTTGTTGGGGATAAGAGAGATTAAGTGAGAGGAAGGTGAAGAGTTTAGGAATAGCGTTAATCAAAATATGAATAAGATATGAATATTTTAAACATTTTAATTGAATTAAAATTTAAATGGCATTTTAGAAATAATGGTGGATGAAAAAATAGAATTTTGTTTTTTTCAAATTTACATGCTGGGTGGGAAAATAGGATAAGGAGTGAAAATAACATTATTTTTTTTATAAAAGAAACCGATAATTTCGTAAACCTCGTAGACATCGTGTGTATTTGTATTTTTTTATAAAAAAAAAGGATATACACGTTGGATTCAACTGGATTCCATCATGACCTAAGCATTAATGCTATTTGACCAGAAAAATAAAAACATTAATGCTAGGTATATAATACTGATCATTATTTTAACACATACTTGCATTTTCGCAACATATGACCCTCGGACTATGGAGAGCAGGACAAACAAAAAACAAAACAAAAAGAGAAAAACAAAACAAAAAACTCACACACTACTTTCTTACCAGTTTCTTCTCCTCGCTTCCTCTATTCAAGTTCTTTCTCTCTGCCTCCTCTCTTTAGCTAACCTCTCAAAAGCTCAGTATTGCTTTTGATTAATCTGTTCAGGCTCCAATAATATTTGTGCTAACGTTTCTCTTTGATGACATGATTATCTGATCTGCGTCTTCTTAACTTGTTATTCAGATCCTTGTTTTCAATTTCTTTTGGCTTCTGCTACTTCACTGTTGGAAAAGCCAGTAATAGAAAGCAGCCTATTTGGTTCTTGGGTTTTTTTTAGTTTCTTGATTGCTCTTATCAGATTGCGAGAAATGGGTTTTGCCAATAAGATGCAGAAAGTGGATATTTGCTTTCAGGTCAGCTTCATTCTTCTTTGCTTCGCTCTTCTCTATGTTGCATATGTACTTTGTCACGCTTTGGTTTTCTAATATGAGTGCTTCTGTTTTTTGTTTTGTGAAGATTAATGGTAGACAAAGAAAATAAATTACTTTTGTCAATCCTGGATTTCTCTCTGTTTCGGACCTGAAAAATCAAAGTGAGTTACTTCAACGAGACTAATTATCGTGTTTGGTTTGAGTTAGTGCTTCATAATCTGGAAACATCTCAAGTCTTAAGTTTCAAATATAACAATTTTTTTTTAATATTCTTTCTTGCAAAGTTTTAGCAGCCAAATTTGAAATTACTGATTTGGATTAAAGTGAAGCCAGAGTGGTGTTTGATCCAAAAGTGATTGCCCTTTATCTGCAAATTTTAATAAATACCTTGTTCAGGTTGAATATAGTTTACAAAGGGTATAGCTGGTTTGTGATACTTTATTACCATTTTTTAGTGTTTCCATTTATGTTCCTTTCAAACTCTCTGGACTGGCTTGATGAATGCTTGAATTAGTTAAGTCAGAGGCACTAGATAATAGAATCTGTTGCCAGCAGCAAAGATGCATTTTTGTTTTTGGGTATTTGAAATGATAGGGGGGAAGGGTTCGAGCCTGCATTTTTCTTTCTTCTCAATTGAATTTCTCATCAACCAAAGACAGTGTAAGGAATTAAAGAGGCAGTCATGATTGATTTTTAACTTTCTGATTTTTTGTGTACTATGTAGTACCTTTTTGAGGTAAGGTTTAGGATTTTCCTGTTCCTTAAAGGTCTCAGTTTTAGCTCAACTATATATATAAACTGGTTTCATTAATAATTGTGTCATTGGAGGTTGATATGGATTTTCTTTAATCCTCTTCTGCTTGTGGATACCTTAATACTGGTATTCTGTATTATAAACTTTGCACGCTGATTAGTGGAGTTTAGTCTGTTACTCATTTTGAGTTTTGCTTCTAAGATCATTTGTTTGTATTTGCAGAAATTTTTCTAGTTTGGAATTTTCTTCACGAGGTTTATTTACTATGGGTAGAGGTAGAGGTAAAGGGAAGAAACAAAGCGTTATTGCTGTTCGTGAGGATCCTGGAAGTGGTGAAGAGGAGAGGATTCCACCAAACAGGAGAAGAGGAAGGCCACATAAACCATTAAAGGAAGATATTGGAGAAGGAGAAGAAGCTCAGAAGACAGAAGATGTTGAGGATGCAAAAATTTATGTTTCTAGCAAAGACATGAAAAACCAATCTGCCATTGAGAATGGAAGGAAAAGGAAGAGGTCTGCTCAGGTCAAAGAAAATATAAAATCAGTCAAAGAGGATAAAAACGTTGAAACAAAATCAAGTCTTGATGACTCGACAAAGTCTGTTGGATTCCGACAAAATGGGAGTAGGCGGAAAAACAAGCCTCACCGAGCTGCTGAAGCTGGTGTTCAGTGCAAATGAGTTCAGTTTTGCTGTTGTGATAGTTGCACACCTTCTTTGCCATCAATGGATAAATCAGAAGCGTGGAGAAAGGCTTTGTTGGTTCACCTATCATTCCTTATATTGCCTTCATTATATGTTTTACATTTCTTCTTTCTTTTGCGAACGGATGATTTTGATTGTGAGGTTTTGAAATATTCGCTTGTGCCCTGCTATTTGCTTCTGTTACTAGCCACAGACATTTTCGTTAGCCCTACAAAAAATTTCTCTGACAGCATTCATTTTACTTGAACTTAGATGAGGTTGCCTTCATTTTTCGTTCTTCATTTCTCTTTCCTGAAAAGGAAAATAGCTAGGGAGGGAGTATATATGCTTTTAAATTATCCAAATTCCACCAGCAGAATACACTGGTGCTTCAATTCAGGCACCTCAGAAAATGAAACTGAAGGCCTTTATACCCGGAAATAGACCTATACACCTGAAGTCTTGAATAGAGATAATGGCCTTCACAATGGATTACAAGTGTTCACTGGATTTTGTTGCGCATTACTTGAACATGTGAGCTAAAGATATGGCCCTTGTAGTTGGTTTCCATGGTATAATCTTGAATTCTCAAACAGAAAATGGATTAGATCAGAGACTAATTACTTCTTATGAACATGTGAACAGATGTGTTTGGTGTTGGCTCTTCTAGCAGATGATAATTGAGGAGACTCAAATACTCAACAAGGGAAAACCAGGTGAGTTCAACGGTGACGGATTTCGTTTTTAGTTTATAATACTAACTCTTTAAGTTATTAAGTTGCCAGTGCTAGAGTCATGGATTTCATTTACATGGCTGAATGATTAAAATATATAGGTAAGCGTGATTGATAGTCATTCTCCTGATGTTCTGACAAATATGGAAAACAAACATTTTCAAAACAGAAATCTATATGCATCCCCTTTTTGGTTCCTATTTGTGGAATAGATTGGGTTAGGTGCCCGAATGAAATTGGTGTCTACATTCCCTTGGAAATAATGATGATGTTGATCAAATACTCTGCACATGCAGAGGGGATCTAAACCCGATATCATGTGTGCACCTGTTTTGGTAATCCAAATAAAGCTGAAGCTTAGGTAACAAATTGGCATCTGAGCAATTTCACTTTTGTCGAGTGTATTCAGGATCCTATGTTATGTTCAGTTATGTCGAGTGTATTTAGGATCCTATGTTATGTGCAGTTTAGGTTTGATCTTACACAAGCCAATTGCACATACGTGTGCCTCCAATCTATACGAAACAAAGTTATTCCTTACTTGGACTATCACGTCGAGAACTTAGAAGCATTTTGTCACTTCGACCAAACTTTTGAAATACCATGCAGTGGTTATTGTGAAGAACCCTTTAGATGGTTTAGTGCAACCGGAACACTACTATTATCCCACGAGAAGGGTATACATTGTGGCTGTTGAAGTGCTTAGAAGGACAAACAATGAAATGCCCTTAGGGTAGGAGTCTAGTCAAAACCAGTGTCTTGGATTACAAACATGTTAAATACTAAAGTTTAGCACTGTTGTATAATTTCCTTTTTTATGTGTAGTTTTTGCAGCTAGTATGATTGAATGGCATATGATAGCACAAGTTAAAAGCGCCACATTGTGTGCCATATAGCTTGCAGATCAGAATACAGGGTGAAATTATGAGTTTCGCTTTTGACAGCCTTCTTTTCTGAGAGTGTTTCTTCGTCCAATCCGTTTTAGAATTCATGGGTCTTATTTTTTTCTTCATTCATAGCCACCAAAATCTATGGTGCAAATGAGCGACCCCGCAGAAGATGTCGGGAACTTATATCCGAGCCTTGCTAGAGATGATACATCTCAGTTATACAGAGTTTGTGGGATTTGACATCAGTTTCTTTTAGTAATACATTCTTATGCAATATAGAACTGAAATTTTAGGAGGCATGTCGCAGCCCAAAGCTTTTGTTTAGTCTTTGTCTAGTTGCTAACCATACCTCTGGCATTCACCGGTGACTTGGCTTTCATTAGTTGATGCTGATGGCTTGAGGCTAAGAGGTAGTGATCAAGATTGTGCACACAAGAAGATATCCATGTTTAACATTTTTTTTTCTAGTATAATTATATAGTCCGCAAAATCAACTACAAAACTGCCAAACATGGTTCCATCAACGAGGTTCACTTGAAAAATTATCGTAATTTCTTTATCAGTCCAATTAACTAGAAATAATGTAGAATCAAACTAGAGGCATTAACTTCACCTAACAAAACATTAGAGTCGTTTGAATCCAATTAATAGCCTCAAATGACATCCAAAGTTAAGTTGTGAAACCTGCCGGCACATATTTCTTCTCTAACATACGTTACTTAGAAATTTACCATAAATAGATCATATATCCATGACAATTGACAGTTTATGATAAGACAAGACGCGTATATGATATATCCAAAAGCCTTCAACTATTTGAGTTACATGATTTGAAGTCACATAACTTGAATTCCTGAATTTCTCGAAGTCTAACTTGGGCATTAGAGCCTCTTCGGCAAACGCCACACCGGTTTCTAAGAAACTTAGTCGTTTCGTTTGATCTTTGGTCATAGAGGAGATTTTTGCAGCTCCCTTGCGTTCCTTTTTTTTTTTTTTTGGGTTCAAATTCACCTTCTCCCTTTTATTAAAGAGTTGGCGAAAATGTCCTCAATACATCTTTTACCCAATTTTCCATTATTTTGTTGAAATTATGAGAAATGAGATCAGAGGTTTTTGTGTTGCAAGTGTGTAGAATCGTTCGTGTGAGACCACCATTAGTTACATGCATGTACTTCTTACCTGAGTCAAACTTAAGACAGAGAGATGGCCGAGATTGTGTACACACCAAAAAAACATAAAATACATTCAAATAGACATTGTTTGCAAAAAAAGGAAAAAAAAAAGACATTGTTTGCAAGTGTAGCTTGGGCCAAGCACTGGTCCTCACACGCTAAGCAAAAAACCAAGGGACCATCCTTCTTCTACTCTTCCTTGAACATCAATGGATGCTCGTCACTGAAATGCGTGTGTGTGTATATATATATATATA